TTATCACCATAGCCATTGCCATAAGCACTAACACATCACCATCCCTGCATCATTCTCATCACCACTACCGCCATGGTCACTACCATTCCCACCCTCTGCAAATCCTCCTCCTCATTATTGTTGCTATTACCTGAAGTACTAACACTATGACATCACCATTACGATGGCCATCACTATGACCACCACCACCCCATCACCGCTCTCAGTCATCACCATTGTCACTGCCACGATAACCACTGCTACCATGTCACCAGTACCATCGCTGTCACCGTAACTATTACTTCCAAGCACATTTGGCATCTAATCCTTTGGGTAACCTCTTTCCCAGGGACACAGAGCCTCTGGCTACTCAGATCTTACCCCTTTCTCCACATACTCCCCCTTTTGAAATCCATCTGTTCTTTTCTAGTTGACAGCCACACAATTTGATACAGTAATTGTGCTATTGGCAACAATGTGCTGGGAGAGATGCTGTCAAGAAATATGTGTTGAGAGAAAGAACAGTGCCTAGTTCCAGCTCAGTCATTCATTTCCACATGACCTTGAACAAATGATGTTGCTTCCAAAGGCTTCTGCTTTCTCTTCTCCAGGACCCTGGAGAGTCTTCTAGACCCTGTGAGTTGATTTTGATGTAGATCCTCTATAGACCAAGCAAATGTTCATGTAGGCAGGGCATTTAGGGCTTGAACAGTGACTAAGCAGACAGGTATCTGCAGTAAGAGAGGCCACTGCAGCTGCTGCTGCATCCCCTGGGGAAGGTGCCAGAGCCAATCAGTCAAGGGCTAGAGGCAGGCTGGACAGGTAAATACCCAGCAGTAAGGACAGGCTACTGTCACAAAGGTCCCCTTATGCCAGGACTGCTCTGTTCTTTCTACATGTATTTATTATTTGGGTGCTCAGAGCTCATGCCCCCTGGTGTCTTTTAACCCATGTCCTTTGGGGACTCAGAGTCGTACCCAGATGCTTCACGGCAACCTACAGCTGCAGCTGAAGATTTTCAAATGACAGGTGAGTGAAATACATTTTCAGATGGCACAGCTCATCCTTAACTATTCTTGGTACACCTCCCAGCAATTCTCTCAGAGGGTATTGTCATATCAGAAGTGAGGCAAACAATGCTGTTTAAAGGGAGTAAGTGTAACTTGGAAGAAATATCATTGTCAAGTTAGTAAAATGTAGCATTCAGTATTTAGTATTCTAAATAAAATGTCACCCTTGTGAGGTCATAACATCTCAGGCCCAATCCCCACACAGCAGAACTATAGGAGTTCAGATTGTTCTTTCCCTTGGGAAAAGCTGACAGCTCCAGGCTTCCAGATGGTCATCCACTCTTCCCACTTTCTCAAAAAAGGGAAAAATTGCAACCAAACACAACAAGAGGAGATACTAGATACTTAAAAGAAAAAATAAGAAAATGTTCCTTTGAAGAATAAAAACGAGCTTCTTGCTAGCAGTGGGAATTTTAGGTGTTTGACTGAGCGGGCAAGGCTACATTTGAGAGAGGGAGAAGTATGTCCTTGAGTTAAGTGCTCTTCCCTGCTTCACACACAACAGAATCAGAGCCAGGGCCCATCTCTTGACACAAACACAGCCCCTCTTGTGAAAAGCAACCTGCACTCTCTTCAGCAAATGATGGAAAGCAAGCTTGAATGAGGCCTACTGTGCCTCATTCTGTGTTATAAGAAAGTGTTACTTCCATTCTACAGGTAGGAAAACTGAGGGGATTAATGATGCAGTCCTTGTTAGGGTGATTTGTACCCACAAGGGACATTTGGTAGTATCTGGAGACATTCATGAATGTTGCAACCTGTGTGTTATGGGAAGGTACTCCTGGAACTCCTGAGTAGAGGCTATGGGATACTGTTGGACGGCCTGTTGCACACAAGACCAGTACAGCAGATACCTGTACCACAAAGATTTTTGTCTGGAAGTTGTACACTTAAAAGCCAAATTCATATTATTGTCATTTGAAACTTTGTCATCATCCGTGTTCTTTTATCCTCACACATAGCCAGTTTCCTGAATTCTTCTTGCCAACCTTATGTGCCATGTCTGCCAGGAGCCAGTTTGTCTTTGGGGCTCCAATTATGGGTTTCTGTGCTACCTCCATGTTTGTTATGTTTTCTTCAGGTGCCCAGCCAGAACCAGGCTTCTCCTCCCCATGGCTTCCTGGAGCATCTGCTTTCAGGAAGGTTCTGCCTGCAATGAGTCTCATTGTGCAAAAACTGGAATCTATGCATGGTTTCTGTGGTCCCCTGGAAGGAAGGGTTCACAGGTCACATGCATCTCCATTCTAGCACACCTGTCCAGTGGCAGGGCTGAGATGCATTTGACAGGGATAAGCAAAACGCCCTGCACCAGGCTCTGTCTATCAGGGGCTTGAAGCCAGCTGGGGAGAACAGCATGGCCATCTATCTGGGAAGTCTGATTTTGGCTGGACTCACCCAGTCTTGAGACTGTTCTTTCCATATTCTCCAAAGGCATCTTTTCACATTTTAAGGTAAATCTTTAACTGGGAAATTAGAAGGTCTGTTTTGGAGGCTTAGTGTTTCAGTTTTAAAAATCATTACAACTGAACAGATTTTGGAAAGACTCACAAAGCTATTCTGAGGATTAAAAGAAATAGCAGAGGTGAAGGGTTTTTCCAACTATTGAGCTTTCTGTACTGTGAACAGTGGCATGGGGGAATCAAGGGGGAAGTGGAGAGATCACTACAAATTGCTTAGAGCAGTCCTCTGTCCTTTAACACCCAAGGCCACCCCTTCCAGAAACTAAACCAAATGTATGTTTTATCTCTCTGGTTCCAGGCTGTGCAACTATAATGTGCATTTTCCAAATGTGAACTGTAGATAGGTGCTCTTTAGAGCTAATGAGATTTTGAGGCAATTTGAATTGGTGTCATGTGTTTGATTCAATACCTAACATCTTCCACCTGGTCAGAGGCAGGCATAGACAGTCTGGTTAGATTGTTTTTTTGCTTTCCTTCTGCACTGGTTTGCGTTGACCTGTGATTTCCATGTTTTGTGGAAGTACACACAGTAGACACATAAGGTCAGGTTGAAGACCATGCCATTTTAAAATGCTTAAGGGGGAAATGACTCATATCCCATCACTCCTACATATTGCTATCTCTTCACTGCAACCTGTCATGGTTGCTTCTAAGGAGGGGAAAAAAAAGAGAAGTTTCTCTTCCAAGTAAGAAACACAATGAATAGGTGCAGGTCCAATATACATTGTATAAGGATGCTCTATGGACATTTCCAGAAGGCTTTAGGATGAATTCTCTTTCCATCATGCAATACAAATAACATCAAAAAACAAAAATGCCTATTTTTATGGATTTAACTATACATGCTCAGTTATTTGAGGATCAGGGTTTGAGCACCCACCCCTCCCCTAGCCTTTCCACATGTTGAACAGAAGTTCTTAGCTCTTATCACTGAGCTGCACCTCTAGCTCCAAAATGTCTTTAGATGTGAGATTCTGCTTTCATTTTGTAAGATCTAGTATGTCTTAAATTTCCATGTAACTTAGTTTTTATAAAAACAAAAATCACTATTTTTAGCACCTAGTCAGAATGTACACATTATATCTTCCCTGGCCTAGTAATTATGTGTCAACAAAATTGATTTTGTTTGGCTCAAAAGATGCACAAACAAAAATCCAAGATAAAATTCTTCCAGGGAAAGTATTTTCAAAGATGTAAGGGCATTGGTAATATAATGATGTTCTCCATTTAGTCTTCTTATGTAATAAATGAGGCCTACTGTAACTGAGGAACGTTTATGCACCAAAGATTGTGCTATGGACAGGATACAGTTTAGGACCACACAGAGTCCCTTAGTTAACTTCCCACCCTGGTCCTACCCTTCTTATCCATGGGCTTCTAGCTTATCTCCAGCTGTTCCCCTGGAGGATCTCTGCATTCTTGAAGCTGTTTTGGGATCCCCTGCAGTGAATAGTGTGAAAGCTAACGTGTATTTAGATGTGGAATTGGCAGGCCTAGGTTCTCATGGAGGTTTTATCACTGACAAGCTTTCACCATTCTTGTAAAATGATATAAGTGATCAACGTCCACTCACTTAGAAGATTTCTGGGAAGAACCAACACCCACTTCATAAGAGGTAAAGCCCTGTGATGTGGTAGCATTGCACAGAAACAAGGATTACATAAAGTATTGGTTCTTTTACAAAAGACTTATTTTATTTTTAATCATGTTGGGAGTATTGTGCATGTGAGTACCTGGCATGGCTAAGAGAAGAGATCAGATCCCCTGGAGCTCAAGTTCCAGCTGCTAGTAAGCTGCCTGATGGTGGCACTGGGAATTGTACTTGGGTCCTCTACACAACTCAACACTGAGCCATCTCTCCAGACCCAGCCATTTATTTCTTGACTGTTTCCATGAATGTGAACTTGTCTTATCTAGCTGTCTCTATTCTTAATGTTTGACTGATTAAGCATTTCATTACAGTAATTAATAATTTTTTCATGGTCATTTCTTAGTCTCTAGATGAGATTCCTAGTTGCTTAGGGACTAGCAAGATGGCTCACTGGGTAAAGGTACCTGGTACCAAGCCTGTCAACCTGAGTTCAGTCTCCTGGATCCACAAGGTGGAAGAGACAAACTGACTTTCACAAACTGTCCTGAGGTCCACACATATGCCATGGCACACATGCATGAACACACACATATACACATAATACACACCTAAAATAGATACATAAAATATGATAAGAATAAGTACTCAGTTGTCTAAAGATATATGTTATTTCATGTTAAACAAAGCCTGCATATAGCTTTTAGTGGAAATGTTCATTTTGTAGCATATGAAAAAGTGAGGGAATCCAAGAACAACTGGGCATCATGAACCTGAAGCTAGCAGATGAAAGTTTGTAAATCTAAGTCACTGTTTATGTCAGTATCTCTTTGTGAACTGACTTCTGTTCTGATGCCAGTGACCCACACACTCGATTTGGTCATCATCAGCACTGCCACTTACCATTGCAGATCCCACACGACTGACTTTGATGGGGTTCCCTCTACCAGAAAGGTCCATCTGGGCTTTGTCCATCACGTATAAGCAAGCATCCAGGATGCCATCTTCAAACTATTTGGAAGAAAGCAATGAAAAACTTGAAGATGGAGGTTTCTGTCCTGCCTGGTCCCACAGCTGATTAGTCCCAAATAAACACACAAAGACTTATATTAATTTATAAACTGTCAGCTAATGGCTTAGGCTAGCTCTGTCTTAACTATCAACCCATTTCTATTAATCTATGTATTGCCACGAGGCTGTGGCCTATCTGTAATCTGGTATGTTACTCCTTTGGCAGCATGGCGTCTCTCTGCTGCCTCTCTGCCTTCCTCTCACCAGGTTTCTCCTGGCTTAGTAACCCCACCAATGCTCTGCCGGGCTATTGGCCTATCAGTGTTTTATTCATCAACCAGTAAGAGAAACATATATACAGAAGGACATCCCCCATCAGAAACTACTTAATCTCCCCTCTGCAAAACAAGATAAACTGTGTGCAAAACTAAACTACAGCCACAGTCTACTGCCTAGAAATATGGAGTGACCTCCCATAACCTTTAGCATGAACTATGAAAGTGAAGGAAAGGACACATCCTGTTTTTACTTCTCCACAAAATAAAGAACAGAGAAGAATCCAGTAATACAAGCAGAACCATTGTTGAGCAAACATACTCAAGTACTGAACACTGACTCAAGACTCTCTAGGATACTGTACAAGTTCACTAAGATCCTTTCAACAGATGGATGCATTGCCCACAGCACAATGATTTCCCCAAGTCCCTTAGGACTCCAATAGCAACTCCACTTTCTATTTTCTCTTATTTTATTATCACTGTTATTTATTTTTTAGATGCCTGTTTGTTTTCTAAGGAGAGAGTACAAGAAAGGATGTGGATTTGGGTGGGGAGGTGGGAAGGCTCTGAGAATAATTAGGGGAAGGGACCGATAATCAGAATACATTGTATAAAAAATCTATTCGCAATTTAAAAAATAAGAGAAAGCCAGACAGTGGTGGCTTATGCCTTTAAGCCCAGCAGAGGCAGAGGGGCAGAAGCAGAAGGGCAGAGGCAGAGGCAGAGGCAGGAGGATCTCTGATTTTGAGATCAGCCCAGTCTACAGAGTGAGTTCCAGGACAGCCAGGGCTACACAAAACCCTGTCTCTTTTGAAAAAAAAACATACATAGATAGATGGGTGGATGGATGGATGGATGGATGGATGGATGGATAGATAGATAGATAGATAGATAGATAGATAGACAGGTAGATAGATAGATAGATAGATAGATAGATAGATAGATAGATAGATAGATAGATAGATAGATGGCTGTCAGATGTGTCACAGGAACATAGTCAGGTCTTTTTTGGCTTGCATGTAAAACAGGAGGAGACCTCATGAAGTTAAAGTTCTTGAAGATCCCCCTATCCCTTTTCTTCCAGACAAGGCAATTTCTAGATCCTGAAAGGGCAGGTGTCTTAAAGAAGGCAGATTATAATATCTCATGGGCAAGCCTGAGAACTGGTTCAATTTTCTTGGAAAGAAACCCTTTTCACAGGTGTTTCTAGAGTTTTCTTAAAACAGAATAAAGACCAAATTAAAAAGAAATAATGGTATAGTGATGTTTTAGCTATACTGTACCATAAAAAGTTGAATATTCCTTTCAATATAAAAATTGTCCACCCAAGTATTATGACAAGAGCTATAATCTGAATGGCTAATTACCATGTAGTTGCTTGTTAAATCTAGCTAGAATTCTGAATGTGGTGTATCCTAGAGATCTGGAAGATATGGTGCAATTTGTAATTTTATTATACAAATAATTATTTTTATGATTATGTAAATAACTCATTATTTTGGTCTTACTAAACAGCATATCTCAGATGCGTTAGCCACTAACCATACCATTAAGGACCCCATCAGAGAAATCATTGTTTCCCTGAATCACTGCAAACAACTGGTTTGGCTTGTTATTTTGTCAGAATGACCTAAGTTGATGGCCTTGTTGTATAATGACACAGATCCCATAGTCTTGGATGCTTACTCAAAGTCACGCTGGCCAGGTATAATGTGGTTGTGCTGGGTGTCTTCTTAATTCTTCCTGATTCCTTTTTGATAACTTTTCTCCTTTACTAGCTACCTATATTGAATCACATTGGGACCATATATGGTCATTATTTCTCTCCAGATCTGCTGTTACCCAACAAGGCTAGCCTATGCTTGGCCTGTTATGCACATGGTTAGTTCTCCTTTTCTTTATGTGTTAACTTATTAAGGTGTTAGGGATCATTGTAGAGGTTGACCATATTGAAGTACCCAATCTGGGACTTTTAGCTGAAAGTTCTATTATTTCAGCAAAACAATGGGATAAATAAACCCCTTTCTTTTTATCAAGAATCCAGCCTCAGTTTTTCTGTTATAGTAACAGAAAACAAACAAGAACAGCCCTTAAAGCTTAGGTCATGGGCAATTAAGGCAACTATAATAGACAATAAATAATAAAGGTTGTGTGTCACTTGGGAAGAGGTAGGATGGTGACTAAAGGCCCAGACATGAATTAAAAACAAGTCAATTAGCCACAGACTATATCCTGACAGGACATCAGAGATGCAAGTGCAACTCTTAGGGGTCAGTGTGAAGCTAAACTGTGGATGAAGGTAAGAGTTCATGTTGATGGGATCAATGGTTAGACTGTATGACACAGAGATTCCATATGGGCATCAGGAGCCAGGACAGTATCATGGAACCTGGTGAGGCCCAATACCAAGAAATCTTTCCCTCAACACTCAGAGAAACAATGTCCAGTTGCAGGCATTTCTGCCAAAATCCTCTGAGAGATAAGACACCCACCCATTTCCTGTTGATAATCAACTAATAAGTCCATATCACAGGGCATGTATGTATCTGGAAACAGGGAAAAACTTCACTTAAACCAGTGTCAAAAATGCTAAGTTGAAACAGTTTGAATTATTGAATATCTTAAGGAGTTACTGTCATCTGCTTTTGCCCCTAAAGATTAACTTGAGTTTACAACTGATGGAAACACCTCGAGATACTTTCTAGAAAAATCTAGTAGACATTCTTTGCCAAAATTGGAATGCTCTTTCCTTAATAACTAATGTTAATAGACTCTCACTTTAAAATATACACATGCCAAAGAAAACAAATAAAAATATATGCATTCTTTCTTTTAAATTTCTTTCTTTCATTAATTACATTATTGCTTATTTATTGGTGTGTGTGTGCACATGTGTGTGTGTGTGTGTGTGTGTGTGTGTGTGTGAGAGAGAGAGAGAGAGAGAGAGAGAGAGAGAGAGAGAGAGAGAGAGAGAGAGAATATGCTGTGTGCTGTGGTGATTATGTGAGGTTCAGGGAAAATTTGGGTATGTCTGTTCTCTTTCTACCATGTGGGGTCCTATACTGAACTACTCAGGCTGTCAAGTTTGGTGTCACTAACTCTTTTGCTGGGTTTTGGAACCCTTCTCCTCACACTTGCCCAGACTTAATACAAGGAGAGGTATTTAGTCTTGCTTCAACTTGATGTGCCATGTTTGGTTGATATCCATAGGAAAACCTGCCCTTTTCTTAATAGAAGTGGAGAAAGAGTGGATAGGGGCACACAGGGGATGTAGGGGGAGGGGATAGGAGAGGAGGGAGGGGTGAATTTATTTTACATCCTGCAGTCGGGACGTAAAATAAATAATTTTTAAAAAGTTTGGTGGTGAATGGCTTCACTCACTGAGCCATATCACTGACCCCTAATACATTTTTATAATGTATTCAACTTATTATATATTATGATATTACATATTAATATGTATCATATTTAAATTATCGTTAATTATTATATTAAAATACTTTAAATTTAGTATACCCCCCGCTATATTCTTTGCTTTAAAAATGTCTTCATAAGCATAGAAAATTTTCAGCCCATTTCAGGTTGAAATAATGAGACTTCATGGTTTCTAAGATGTCAAAGTATATCTCAGTGACTGCCATGTTTTCTGTAGATGCCCCGATCTCAGGGACATTTGTAATAAGAGGAAGATAGTTGGCTCCAGCTGATAAATTATGCAGTTTTCTCTCTAGGTCTCCACTCCCATGCACACTGTCTTGGAGTCTTAGATCCTGAAAAGCAGGAAATTGTGCTTTTCTAATATTGACTCATGGCACCCAGCAGTAATAAATGTGACAAAAAATTATTAAGGAAAAATTCTTGACAATGACAAATTCTAAATGGCTCACCTGGCCATAGCTCCAGCTTCTGCTCTTGATGTCACTGAAGTCCCCATAAAATATCACTCCGATGTCATTCAGGACGTACTCCTCTCTCTCTCTCTCATCGTCTAGATACACAGCATCCTCTGCACCAGGATGGAAGCACAGTGACCTTTAATCAACCACGCTGTTTCCAAACCCGTGCAAGTCTGTGCCATTGCTAGGCTGAGGTTCAATCTGCCCAGAGAAAAGATGTCTTTTCTCTCTCACAGCATAGCTTATTTCCCCAGTATTTTTAGCCACAGTGATCACAATCAGTACTAAAGATCAGTCTGTAAATGAGGACATTTGTCAGTAAAATGCTGACAAACTCTGGCCCTGGATGTCTTGAAGCACAATTAAATTGACATGTCTCATTAAGCATTCTATGATGCTGGTGCTTCGTGGATTCACAATCAGATTCTGTGGTACTCAGGCAAACTTGCAACACAGATCAAAAAGTCATTTCCAACCTACTGATGTTAAAAGTAGCTCAACTGGAAATGATGTTTGAAATAAATCTGGGAAGTGTTGGGGTTTGGCAGCATCATTTGCTATTCCTCATTGTGACCCACTGGTTTGAAGGAGAGGGCAGGCTCTCAGTTATTTCATGATGAAAAGTCCTTGTGGGTGTATTGGTAGGTATGTGAGCCCAATAAACCTGCCCAATTAGCTCCAACCACTACAAGGTCCTTCTGGTGGCTCTAATCTCAGGAAGGCCTTACTCCCAACTACCTAGCCATCTCTCTGGTACATATTCCCAAACCCAGAAAAGCATCTTCCACACAGGCAGTATTATAAAGAAGTAGATAACACTCAGGTAAATTTCCATTAATTGTATGAAATAGGGTCAATATTTTACTCAGTTCCAGATGATACATCTTTATCAAAATCAAAGCAATATTTTTAAAAAGCACAAAGGAAATGCATTGTAGATTTCATTTATTTGTAACTATAAAACTTTAATATTTTAGATATTATGAACTTTAGAGAATGGGACAAGCTAGAGAAATACTTTCAATAATAACTGCTATTTATTTATAAATGTTGTCAAAATTTTCCTGGAAGTAAATAATTCTGGTAAATTGAAAAAGGCTTCCCAAAATACATAAAAGAAAATTAGAAAATCGAAAAAAATAAAGGAAGAATTGTAAATGGAAGGTAAATACACAAAATATCATTTATTAAATAGTAACCCAAAATGGCAAAATAATTAAAGTGAAATTTATAATAAACATATGTGTACTAGAGGATTTGAACGTAAAATATCCAATATCAACTGATGTGGGCCATATTGCCAATTTACTGGTGAGACTGCAGCTAAACATTTCAAAAAGCAATTTGGTGACTATTTCGTTAGAATGACTTGACCTTCATTCTAGAGTTTATATCTATCTAACCAGTGGAACCAATTCAGAGGTGCATCAAAAAAATAAGTGTAATCGCTCATTGTAGTAATAATTACAGTGGAAGAAATATAAAAGTCCTAAAATATTCTCCAACTTTCCCACACAATATTAACAGCATTGAAATATACTTGGAAAAAACTTTAATAATAGAAACTGCATCTTTAACAAAGGAAAACTTAAACGTGGAAAAAAGCCAAATGTGAAATACGTTCAGTCAGATATGAAAATCGGATTCATGTACTTCCATTATTACTATATGTTGCTTGAAAAGCTGAAAAATGTGTGTGTATATATGTATACTAAATGAAAACCATTGGGGAACCCAGAAAGAACACAGTGATTATGTTTAGAATAACTGAGAAATTCTTGGATAAAAATTTAAAGAACAAGAAAAATATTAGAAAAGGTGTGGTGGTTTGAATGAAAATGGCCCCCATAAGCTCCTATATTTGAATGCTTGGTCCCCAGTCAGTGGAACTGTTTGGGAAGGATTAGGAAGCCTTGCCTTGTTGGAGGATGTGTGTCACTGGGAGGGGGGATTTGAGGTTTAAAAAGCCCAGGCAAGGACCCATGGCTCTCTCTCTTCCTGCTGCCTGTGAATCAGGATATAATGTTATTGCTCCACCACATGACCATAGACTAACCCTCTAAAACTGTTAACAAGGCCCCAGTTAAATACTTTCTTTTATAAGAGTTGACTTGGTCATGTAGTCTCCTCATAGTAATAGAACAGTAAGTAGGACAAGGGTCAAGGTAAATTCTTATGAAAAAAGAACAGCTCATTACAGTATTGGGTCAAGAAACCCTTCTTCCTGACACAAAATGAGTAAGTAGATCATCAAAGATCCTAGGCACTATGACTAAATAGTAGCCAATGTTGAAGAAACAAAAGCCACTAAATATTGAGGGATTAACCGTGGAGTCAGATCAGATAGATAACAGATACTTTATTAAGAAATAGTACTCACAGATCCGCCTAGCCAGGCAGCAGGAAGCAAGGGAAGAAGGGGCTCCACGTGCACACCCCTAACTCTTAAACCTTTCCCATGTCACTCTGACCATGCCCAAGGGGTCGTGGTCAGCGACACCTGTAGCCAGCCCCAAGTGGGCGTGGCCAGGATTTCCCCTACAACTAAAGAGTAGAAGACATCAGATATTCCAGTATTTGTGAATAAATATTGTTTTTAAGTGTGTTGGCCATCTTCATAGAGTGCTAGGAACCCAAGTACTAATTTGAACACAGAGAAATCAGATAAGACTTTCCTCAAGGTGACAAACCAACAGATGCTAATACAGAAAGAATGGGAGACTTAGGTATCACTATTTGTAATTCCTAATGAAATCATAGAGTAAGCTGATATCATTAGCTCAAAGAAGAGCTCTGTAGTGGTTACATGAGTGCAAGGAAATCTGATTCTACTGATTAATCTAAACATCCATATCTGTTGATTGAATACATGCTTGGCAGGAGTTAAGAAGTGTTTTTACTCCAAAAGAAAACATCCAGAATGTTTGAGAGCGAATTAGATCTAGCCTTTAGATATAAGTAACTACTTAGCAGGAAACCCCATAGGGGTTACAGGCACATATTTCAGGAAATCAAGGCTTAGAATTAGCAAACTAAGACTATGGCAATTTCTACATGACAATGCAGTTTCAGCAATGAGTTTGTGGTAAAACAAATAAATAAATGAAGAGGATTCTTGAAGACATGCCAAAATGTTCAAATTGTAGATACTGATTTAAACAACAAAGAAACCTATAAAGCAAATTTTAGATCGGTAAAATTTAGTTAAGGAATAAGCAACCAAGAACTCTTGTTGATTTTGTTATCATAATTATATAGTCAAGTAACAGTCAACACCACGGATATATTCTGAGAGATATTAATTAGCCATCTTCATTATTTTCTGAGTATCATAAAGTGTTCTCATGGAAATTAAAGCAGTTATAATGCCATTGTGGGACTACTATTGTGTGTTCAAAATGGTCATTGACAGACGTGATCATGTGTTACAGGACTATGTGTGTGCACATATACACATGCATAATTTGTATGTCATGATTATTGTCAAGTCTGGGAGCTATATTAATGGATTTCATTGTATTATTTTTCTGCTTTGGGTTAGTGTAAAATTTTTATAATAAAATTGAGCTTTCCCAAGAAAAATTGAATAAATGAAAACATCCAAAAGCTTCCAATTGGGTATGAAAATTCAATATAATGATACAAATTAGTCAATATAGTCAAGATGAACTCAACTAAAGGTCACTTAGGCTTTAGAATTGTGAATGCTGAATCAAAAGTTTGACTGAAACAAAGAATTTGCAAAAATTAGCTAAAGTGTCTTAGAGTTTCTATTGCTGTGAAGAGATATGATGACACAGCAACTCTTATAAAGGAAAAACATTTAATAGGGTAGCTTAGAGTTTCAGAGTGTTAGCCTATTACCATCATGGCAGGATATGTGCAGGTAGTCATGATACCTTTTATTAAGGGTTTGTTTATATTTTAGTGTGTGTGTGTGTGTGTGTGTGTGTGTGTGTGTGTGTGTGTGTGTGTGTGTGTGTGTGTGTGTGTGTGTGTGTGTGTGTGTGTGTGTGTGTGTGTGTGTGTTTGTGTGTGTGTACATGAAGGTAGTTGCCAGAGAGGCTTCAGAGCTAGAGATGGAAGTAGTGAGCCACCACTTGGGAGCTGGGAACTGAACTCTGTAAGAGCAGTACATTCTTAAACCACCAAGCTATCTCTCCAACCCTGACACCATAGCTTTTTAAAGGAGTAATTTGGTATTGTCTATGTGAATTAAAAATTCAAATTGACCACTAAGTAATGCTGTTTCTGCATGATTATGGAAACATATTTGTATAAAATGTATGTATAACATGTTATTTAAATTACTATAAATCCAAACAGCTGTGAAAAATCAAATAAATTACGGTACAAAATGCCAAGCGGTCATTAAAAACAATATGTATGCACTGGTATTAAAAAAAAAAAACTCTCCATGATACATAGTGTGGGAAAAGGGGCAAAGTATAAATCTATATTGTGGTCAAAAATCCAAATGCTTCAATTTTGTATGTGGACATTATCATAGAAAATCACAGTAAAATATCCAGAATATGTCTACAGAGTTGTTTTACTCTGGATGGTCTTTAGGATTGGAAAAATCAGTGAAAGTGGAAAGTTGTTTTTTGTTGTATATGTTAATGTATGTACATATTTTAAAAGACTACATTACATTAGTTAAATGCCAATTAAAAATGAAAACCGCTAAAATTTATTAAAGGGGTGGAGATATACCAAAGTATTAATAGCTGTTCTCTCTGATTTGTAGATGTATGAGTTCATTCTATGTACTCATCCTTTTCCCCCTTTTTTGCGTTTACTGCATGTGCGTTCACACGTATGTTCACATGTGTGGGGCACACACATGTGTGAAGGTGTATGTGGAGGTGAAAGGTTGGTGTCCAGTGTCCTCAGTTGTTCTCCACCTTATACTTTGAGTAAAAATCTCTCACTTGAACCCAGAGCTTACAGAGTCAGCTGGTTTAGCTGCCCAGCTTGTGATGGGATTACAGGTAGTCTGACGGGTGCTGGGGATCAGAACTCCAGTACTTACTCTTGCATGGCAAGTGCTTTGCCCACTGAGCAATCTCCCAGGTCTATTTTGTGTTTTTGTAAAACTTTCATTATC